CATTTTTTGAAAATGTACTGAAAATGTCAAATGAGCCTATACACCTAGTACCTAGCCAGCATATGTTCAAATTTGGTGTTAGGGAGATGTGTACTTTTTGGAATCTTTATGCAGCCGTCTTTATATGTCACATGTTATTTCCAGGAATACATAACTCATTTAATATACGATGTACATCTTTCACATTTGCACAAATAGTGCACCGAGAAACCCAGAAAAGAAATAATATTTCATATGCCTCCAATTGCAACAGTTGTTCCTGGCACAATCATGAGTATGTTATTAACTTGCACAAGGATCTTGGAGTTGTACTTTTAGCTATAATGCATCGTATCATCATGTAAGCAAGATGCTGATTGGTTCATAATTCACGGCGCTAAAATGAACTCGACGGGCGTATAGATGTTTTTCAACGGGTGTTAGATACTGTCTTGACGCCCGCTATTGAACATTTTAACGCCGTTAGTTTACGCCTGTATTTGTTTTAACCCGTATAGAATTCACTTCTTAACTATGGCTGGCCATCTGGACCAATGTATCGTCATACTTTTAACGCCGTAAAATCTACTTTTAACGCCGTAAAAACGATTCTATACGCCGTAAAGAATTACTTTTACGCCGTTAAAAACGATTTTTTACGCCGTTAAAATTCATTCTGAACGGCGTCAAAAATAATTTTTAACGCCGTAAAAACGATTGTATACGCCGTAAAGAATTACTTTTTACGCCGTTAAAAACGATTTTGTACGCCGTCAAAACCGATTTTTACGCCGTTAGAAATTATTTTTTACGCCGTTAGAAATTATTTTTTACGCCGTTAAAAATCTTTTTTACGCCGTTAAAAATTATTTTTTACGCCGTTAAAAATTATTTTTTACGCCGTTAAAAATTATTTTTTACGCCGTTAAAAATTACTTTTTACGCCGTTAAAAATTATTTTTTACGCCGTCAAAACTGATTTTTTACGCCTTTCGAAATTGCGAACGTACAGAACATTGTTAATCATTTGCGAAAAAATGTTTAAACAATGAAAACTCGATGTATATCAAATTCCCGAGATTTCCATACAACCAAATGCGTCTGGCAAATAAAAATTCCAATATAAATGATAAATGTGACATGTACAGTGACAGAAAAATAGGGTTTTGGATTTATATCAATCAGTCGGTAAGTCGAACATACACGTTCGTTTGTTCAATGAATACCAGATTGTAACGCTGGTTTTAATTGGCTGCCAGCTATACTTTTTAACGGCGTACAAAATCGTTTTTAACGGCGTAAAAAGTAATTCTTTACGGCGTATAAAATCGTTTTTACGGCGTTAAAAATTATTTTTGACGCCGTTCAAAATGACTTTTTACGCGTACATAATTATTTTTGACGCCGTAAAAAAATCAATTTTGACGGCGTACAAAATCGTTTTTAACGGCGTTAAAAGTAATTCTTTACGGCGTATAAAATCGTTTTTACGGCGTTAAAAGTATGACGATACATTGGTCCAGATGGCCAGCCATACTTAACGGGCGTAATTAACGCTTTGACGGGCGTAATTAACGCCTACACAGGTGCCAGGAACAACTGTTGCAATTGGAGGCATATGAAATATTATTTCTTTTCTGGGTATCTCGGTGCACTATTTGTGCAAATGTGAAAGATGTACATCGTATATTAAATGATATATTAATTTCACGTCTACACGGGCGTAATTAACGCCTACACACCCGTAAACTACACGTGGATACTTTGGTTAGGTTGGCTCACCATATTATTCACTTGGTTGTCGAGAAAACATGCAACTAAGATACCGTCCTTTATATCATGATCAGAGCAATATCAGGTATATAATGGCAAGTGATAAGTCCCATATTTGGGACAGGGATGATATCGGGACTAGAGGGATGATATCAAATATCATCCCGGGTAAATTTTAAAAAATACATTTTCCCCAAAAAATCATTTTTTCAACATTCCATTTTTCAAAATTTTTCATTTTTTCAAAAATTTACATTTTTTCTAAAAATTGCTTTTTTCAAATATTTTTATTTTTTGGTTAAAGATAATTTTTCATTTTTCAATTTATTTATAAGTATTATGTTTTTTAGCCCTTAAGTTCTAATTGTACTTTGGAATGGGATAATATGTATCGTTAATATTTCCAAGATTCAATCATTTTTTTCATTAACAGAAGATTTTAGCCAGATATTGCTCTTGATCATGGTATTATGTCGTTATCCACCTGTCGGGATGATATGGGTAATATCCCATAGATGATATCGGCAATATTGATATCATCCTTGTGATATTCTCCATAATAAGTCCCTCCTGGTGAATAACTTATTTATATCATACGTTCAATACGATAACAATTTTAAATACGATAGAAATATGAGCTGCATCACCTCCCCATCAGTAACACGACGGTGTGATTGTTAGAGGAACAACCTCATTTATCCTTATTTGTTACAATAACAAGGTCTAAAAATGTTTGCTCGGTAAGACTTCTATAGAGCTATTGCTCCCTTAGGTCTATTAATTATCGAGGACAACTCCTACTCTGCTTCCAGGAAATCAAAGAAAACCGTATTCCGATTCTCATAACGATCATATCTTTTTTGCAACATGATACATCTGTCATGGCAACAAAACTATATTTCATAGCTTGTGGAAATTCAAGAGGACAATGCCTTGACTTTATAGTGTCTGTCTCCTATTGGATTGCCTCTTCCTTCAAAAACAAGTCGTTAAGTGAATAAAGATTAGAATCTACAGTACCTGAAGAAACATGTGGATCAGTGTCTGCAACAGATGGCTTATCTACTGTTAATATGAGGATATGAAGGATTTCAATTTCAGAGTCGACAGCGACAGTAGTGATAATCATGAACGTAATAAAGTGTTGATTGTGCATATAGAAAGCAAAACATCCTCAACGCAATCCTTACAATGATGACAATGGGTTTATTTTCGAATTGTAGGAAGTAGCTTTGGACGAGCTCTATATTGATCAAGCCCAGGAAATAACATTTCTATATCTTTTCATACCACGCACGCGGTATTGAGGTTTCTATGATTCTGATATTTAACATCTTTGGCGGACTGCGGACGAAGTACTAAAGGTACACGGGGATATTAATTCTTCTTAATTTTGCTAGACTAATCGACCAACGGAGCAAATGGGGTATTATGAATTAGGCACTGTGAAACAAAAAATGAAATTAATATTTTTGCCTGGAAATACCACAGGGGACGTTTTTCAGAAATGGTCATTGGGACCTTGTACAGTCGTCTACCTATTCCATGGGCTTTCAAGAGAAGTGAGAAGATTAAAGCAACCTTGACACGCACCTACACCCCCTCCAAAAGTTTGACAACTACGGCCACCATTGTATAGCCTGTTTAAGCCATTTCTCTTTGAAAGGATTGGTATCGATATGGAGAACTGAATTCAATAATGTTTTTCTCTTAAACCAATCATTGAAAACATAGTTGTAAAAAAGGTATTTTATGTAATGTTCACTGATTGACAACAATTTAATGCGAAAATTATTTAGAAATATTTTATATAACTGTTTTTGTTAACATTTTTGTTTTTTAGTGCAATCGTTTTTGCTCCTTTCTACCAATTCTTGAGAATGAAATGAAATGTCTTTCCGAACCTTGTTGGAACAAAATAGCATATGTTTTTAGACATCTCAATATTATAGATATACAAAGGAATTTTTGGTTGATTATAAAAAAGTGTTCAAAAAACTAAAACAAAATACCCCCAAAATAGATAAAAATTAAGATAAACCTTTTATTTCATTAACAAGATACTTTTTAAAATCAACCATTATATTGTTACTATTCAAAAGATGGCCATTAAATTGATGATGTGTTAAATTTTTTAATTCTTTAAACAAATAGATTAATCGGTCACATATCTATGATTCTCTAGTTTAACGACTTTTGAAATTGCTGGTACTGGTACCCAGTATACACTGTACATAATATGTCCCTTTAAAAATTGAAGCTATTATAGATGCATTTCCCTATATTCTCATCTCTATCATTGTGTCTCATTTTTCTCACTTTACATAAATAATCGCATCTCGTATTGTGTTATAGACTAAATTATTAATAACAATAAATGTATTAGAGAGCTTATTATCACATCATGTCATTTGGGTATATATTATCCCCATTTGTGTACAATATTATGTATATTTATTGAGCCCCTTGAGTGGTGTTTTAACCGAGTTATGAAGTTCATCGTACCATTGTATGACATTGCATGCACGTAGTCGGTAAAAATATATAATCCTAATACTATAAACGTATCTAATCTACGTGCAAATATTCTCGACAATGGATGCAAGAGACAATATCGTAATACAGAGGGATCAGCATGATAAATGGAAAATTTGTTATTTTTGTTTTTATTGCTTTTACCATGTTGGGGAATGCTCGAATAATGGATTCTTATCGTATTTAAGAAATTCTATGGCTGTGTACTGTTGCTATGTCAACTTCTTCACTTTTATTTTAAGTGGAGTATTCCTACACTACAATTGTTCAGAGTGGGACGTCTGAGCAAATGTTCGTTACAAAATCTTATCACAATTGTTAGATTTTTTATTTCACCATAGAATGCAATTGGACACATCTTGCCTTTGTCATTTTGTCAGATACTCTATCTATACTGCCTTTTAAGTCGTAAGGCCGTACTACGCAGTACGCATTATAACCAGTTGTAATTTTCGAAGCAGGGACACTGTTTTTCTCATATAGTATAAGTATATGTACAGGGTGACACAAAAATTGGGCCCCAAATATTCTCTTAAAATCTTTTATTAGCCATGATAATACATAATTAGCAAAGGACGGAGTGCGATGGAGTTTAGTTCTTTACTTTAGTCATTATTTGGCACTAATGATGATTTTCACATAAAAGTACATTTTGATATGGCAGACACTTTAAAATCTAAAACCTAATGCTGAGCTTGTATTATCTGTTTCAGGTTTGGAAGGTTGTGTATGTGGTCTATTACCAGGGACTTGTGTGGCCTATGTGGCCTATGGTAGAGACAACATCAACTACGCTGTGATAGACGAAATTCACACCCCTTCTGCTAATTATATGATTGTGTAATAAAAAGACAAAACGTGCGCATCGATAGGTGTATGGTAGACAGGGCGTAACACTCTATAACCACCGTAAAAGATAGATTGGTCTGACACCCCAACGTGTTAGAGAAGATATTACTGCGGCAGATACTATACACGATAGATGGAGCTGACACCCCTGTAGCAGTGCGTTAGACAATACATCACCGATAGATACTGAAAACGACAGGCGGATATATCACCCCAATGGTACACGTAATGATACGACAGGTACATTATCAAATGGACAGCGAACACGCCTGAAGACGGCAACGAAACTAGCATCCCTAAGCGTGGTCAACTAAGCATCATTATTGTCGATGACAAAGAAATATTCACCCTCATTCTCCAATCATTAGACATTTCATATGTTTTATGAGGGATAACACCCCGGAGACTACATAATCAGGAATACAGGAAACTTAGTTAATAGAACATGATTTGTAGCTGCAACCTTATTACCTGTTCTTTTAAGACTCGGACTAACACTGAAACATTACCCCGTATGTTATCCTAATAATTACGTTCGTTACATTGAAAGTGATCTTGGTGATCCGGGATATAAGAGAAACTGTATCATATGACTTTTGTTATGAACTGAAACTGACACAGTAATCGGATTGTTAACGAATTAATAAACATGGATGATAACAATGGAACTTTCTTTAATGACACTGCTCGTGCGGCGAGCGGTGGCGACAATGGGACCGTTCTCCATAACGCAACGGTCGATTTGATAAACGATCCGGGGAACTTAAGGCGACTCATCATAACAGCATTGCTCTGTTTTGTGTCGGTTGTGGTAAACGTCATCTCTATGGTTGCTGTGTGCCACATTCCTGGACGACTCAGTGGCAGCCATTACCTTCTGATCAACCTGGCGGTCACAGATACATTAGGTGGAATAGTGTCACTCTTTGAAATCATTGGTCTTATTTTATCACTTAAGCATACCTTCTTTTATTTGGAAATATACGTTCATGTCATGGCGATAGGATATTCCCTGTTCGTGCTTTTCTATCTTGAATCCGCTTTCACTCTTCTTGTTTTTGCGATCCAACGATATATCGCTCTCTGTCGACCGGTACAGTTTGTGCGCATGTGCAGCAAAGAGAGGACTCTACTAGCAATGGTGATCACGTGGATCGTGTCGTTTCTAGTCGCAATTTTTGGATTGCTTAGTCTTTCGTTCGTTCATCTTGGATATTATATTTCCAACCCAGATATATGGCAGTACATATGGCCAGTGATTCTCGTCATAACCTTCGCTGTAATAGTTGGATTGTATTTCTGCGTCCTCCGAGGGTTGCACGAGCGTTCCAGTCGTATTCGCTCCGAACAAGGCGTTGAGCAAAACTACCAAGCGTTGGTAACAACCGTCATCCTTATAACAATTTTAGTTTTCACTCTTATACCTTATATGATTATAAAACTGATCCGTTACAACCACGGCATGGGCGGAATGGCTACCATCAATATCCTTCATTGGGACTTTGGGATATACCTACCCTACACGAACTTCATCAGCGATCCCATTATCTATGCCCTTCGCATGAAAGACGTAAGAGAGGGCTACATGTGTGCGTTCGCAGGAGCCTGCCATAAGAGCAGCTTGAACCTCCGTGGCCGAGAGAGTATTTCCCTTCAGACTCAGATTACTGAGTCGGATCAAGTTCATACTCAAAAGGAATCGCTGAATAATTCCAAACATCTTTAATGCTGCCAAAGTGGCTTGTGGTTTGTTGAAGACTTTGGGGCATAGCCAGGACTAATTGGTGAGAAATATTTATATAGCTAGGTGAGGCAAAAAGAGCAAAATACGTTATACGTTTCACAACCATTACAATTTATAAAAAACTGCTTATGACTGCGTATGAGATATATTCTCTTTAAGAAGCGGATTCAGTTCTTTCGTCTCATCTTTGGGAGCAGGATCCGGAAAAGCGGAATTATAACGTCAATACAAGTGCGATAATAACGAGAGTTATTACGGGATCACAGAATATTAACGAAAGTCACTAAACCATAATTCTGCTATGAACTAGTGTCGGACATTTTGACATTGACACTAGCTTTGCTTTCCAACAAATTGAATATAAATCTGATGAGTCTGAAGTTTAAATACTGCGCAGCATTAATGTAATTAGATACTGTCTGCGTTGAGTAATATTTAAGGAATAAATAATGATAGGCCATTCAATATGGTGAAATTCAGCACAAGTTGGACAGAATGTTGTACAAAGCACGAACCGAAGGTTTATTCCTTAAATATATAACGTGTATTGAATGCATATATTCTAAGATATTTTCCAAGAGTTGTACCTTTGGTTGACAAGTAGATGACTAGCATTAAACTGGTAAAACTGGTAAGAGAGCTAACTGTGAATTCGTTATTTTGAGATGAATGTTAGTATCAAAATATAATATATATTGGAGTAGCTCGTAGCTTTGCACACGTTGTGTTTGTGTGCTTTAATTAATTATCTTATTCGAGTTTTTATGATATTAGCTAAATGATATCAGTTTATGGGCGTGTCAATCCTGCAACATTGTAAAAACCAGTGCATACCAGTGTCCATGGGATACTGTTCTATAAGCACTATAAGGTATTTAATAGTTTTAATATTGATCAATTGTGTGACACAGAGCATGTCCTACCTCGTTGAGCACAATGCCCCCCCCCCCCCACCGAGCATTGAATAAAGAGGGACTTTGATAAATCAAAATTATGCTGATTTTGGGTTGTATATGTTTATGATTTGATAAAGTGTAGTTTAGTCAAATATAACTTAAAATCTTTATTTAAAATTTTGTTTTGACAATAGGTAGATTATAAGGAACAGTCATGGTCAAGGTCTTGCGTGCGAAGGGGCACTTGATAACAGAGATGGTAAACACACCCGTAAACACACTAGTGTACTTTAAAACGAACCACTGTAAATTATCACGACATGCAGTTCGGCTTTAGACATAATAAATTTAAAAATATATTTTTAAAATGATTTAGTAGTGCTACGGGGGTCTACAGCGACTGCTTTAGAGACCTTCACAGACAGAATGTTACATTTAAAGAGGCACTATGCCATAGGATAGCACAATCAAGACCCCTCTGGACTTTTTGCATATTGAGTTTCACCACATATATACCCATCTACTTACCAAAGAAGAAGTCCCAAATCCCCCTCTTTCAGTGTTAATTTTGCGATTGTGCTGGCTGATCTAATTATTTTCGAAGAAATTAATTCAATCTGAAGTTTGAATATGCCGGGAAAGTCCTCCTGTTATCTGATTGGTTGTTGAATTTGTTTATCATAAACCTGATTGGCTCCCTGGTTCAAGGCACTTGTGGGTGCTTGTGTGACTCAATGGGGATTCCCCTCAATAGCCAAGAATGGATTGTGTTTAATTCTTGAGTTTGGTTGTTCTGTTGATTATTTCAGATATTTCAGCAATAATATACCCAAAAGTTATTCTCAAGATATATCCATGGTATGTGAGATATTATATGAGCAATAACAATAGGACATCATTGATTGTCTGGGGGAGACACCTATGGCATAATGCATCTTTAATATCTTAACTATAATTGTCCGTTTGTGGAATTTTCTCAGAATATATTTGAAAATGTCCAGACGCTTCCTTATTGAGATCAATCTCATTTTATTTACTATTGTAAATAATCTATTCCCAAACAAGAATGTTGGACAAATAATTATAACTTTGGCCATTATTATCGTTAAAGTTCTTGTTAACCCAGAGGCCTAGAAATGAATGACATAATCATATTTCATAGACCTAATCAAAAAGAAAGTTGGTGTCACCGACTTTATTTTTACTTTTCACTTTTACTAGCATTCTCTCCAAAACTTAATGACGGGATTTTTTAATTTTTCCACACTGGGAGGTTTAATAATTAAAGTTGATTTGAAGGAAATAAAAAACAAAGGTCACCGACTTCGCTTTAAATAATGGCTCTTCGAAAAAGTACATCTTTTCAATTATTTATGTTATTGTCTAATACGTCGCTTATTATTTACCAAAGGGCAGCAAAAATACATTAAAAGCCACTATGGGATATATTTTATTAAATTCATTGATATTTTCTATCGATTTGAATATAAAGTAAAAAACTCATTTTTCAAAAATGTAATATCACGAATTATTATATCACTATCTAGCTAGCGACAGTATGATTGGTCAAAACCGGGTCACATGTCGTGGGATATCTGGCGATATCCAATGGCAATGCTAATCAGATAAGACAACCGTGAGATATCTAGCGATATCCCACGCTCCCGGGAATTTTCAAAGAATTTGTTTTCGTTCAGTGTAAATAATTTAGTTCAGTGTTAGTCAAAATGACAGACGAACCGAGTAGATTCAATGTATTTCAATGTTAACCTATGACTTAATAATATTAGGGATGTTTAGCTAGACAGTGATATAATAAAACAAATATTTCACTCTATTTTCGGTGAATACCTGTAGCACTTTCACAAGGTGATATTCCACTTGCCCTTCGGGCTTCGTGGAATATCTGTGAAAGATGTACAGGTATTCACCTCAATAGAGTGAAATATTTGTTCAATATCCTATAAAGTTGATCACTCGTCAATTCATTGCTCCTATGTTATAGCATGGTGCCACGTATTGCCAATAAACAACTGCCTTAAGATTTTAGTAATAATTTTAGTAAATCCATCTACATAGCTTCACTTTATTACAAATTCATCACAATTATCAATACCCAGTTAAATATGTTAAAGTGACCCAGTCGCTTGTCCTCTTATCCTGGAATAGTTCAGAATTAATCAGCTCATTTAATTTGATTATCAATATAATTGATAGCAGTGTTTTCTGTACGTATAATTATACGGTGTATAGTTCTAGAAATTGTGCTCACGTACAGAACCTTGAACTTTCAAAAGGCTACATGTACATACCAGGCATATCTTGCTAATTTGCATATTTTGTAAAGTGATATTTTGTCATGTGTGAAAAGGATTTCAGTAGTCAAGTAGACTTGATATTAAAAATCAAAAAGTAGCAATGTGTGTCTCTTTCTATGTTACGAAGTGAAACAATTTTCTGAGCTGCTTTTGGGCTTTGTGGAAGATCACTTATGAAAGACGCACTATTATTCAAAGCCATATACACGAGGGGAAAGAGTACCCGTGTATATACAACCTACCGCCGAGCAAAGACCCGAAGATGTCTGAAAATGTAGGGGGTGAGTTATAAACTTTTGTTTATATCTTGAATTTCTCAATATGAAAAACAGATAAAACACAGAATTGTGTGTAACTGATAAAGTTATTGTTCCAGGCACTAATGTTTGCAAAATAATGAGTACTTAGCGCAATGTTTACTATCCAATCGCTAAATTCAACTTTTAAAGTGATACAGTCCGAGTTTAAGCCAATTTTAGCAAAAAATATTTAATATCATCTGAAGAACACTGTCTTACCTTGATCCTAGGATATATTCAACCCATATAACTGAAGGATATCGGAGATTTCTCAAATTGAAGTGGGTACATTTAATTTGATTTCACATCGTCCACTTCGAATTTTGCACTCAAGTTGATGACGTCACCAAAGTATGTTTGTTTACACATTTTCTTGCATTTCGTTCAGAGCAATATTGCATATAAAACTTGGGAGAAAATGTGATCTACTTTTGAAAAGAGTAATTTTCGTGTTCTGTACATAGTGATTACATAATGTTTTATTAATTATGTGTTCCTGATATAATAGTTATTCTTTTGCAAGAAAGAGATTCAGTGATTGTTTAGAAAACCGTCAGAAATAAGTGGAACCTAGAATATGAAAAAATTCTCCTAACCTCTCAATTGGAATAGCTCACAGGTCATAGCCTCGTTCTGATTATTAGTCACATGACCTTTGACTAGGGAATCCCAAACAATGTGCAAGTGTGAGCAAATTTATTTCTGTTGAAAACGCTGAATTGTGAAGTCAAAACACAACCAAGGTCAGTAAAAACGATGTTTATATGTACCAATGTGCTTTGGGATTCAGTTTTTCTTATCCATATGTAGGTTGAACTAACATTTCATCCATTCCACATTACTTTAAATATTTGAATGATGATTTACATCTTGAATAAGTAACAACCATGGCTGTCTTTACTTCATTCGATTCAAAGATACAATAGGTGTAAATGTATCATATTTATTTCACTGCCATACGTTGCATATCATTGAAATAACCGGTGAAAGTTGAAAATGAAAGACCCGACTATGTCACGAGTACTATTATATAGGACCCGAAGCTACCACCGAGCTATTCCGACTATACCGTGAGTAGAACCCGATGAGGTAGTGAGTAAGCTTTCGAATGAGCATATAATATCATGACGATATCACAAATATTCCTTTTTCTTTATCATATACTCCTGGCACCGGGATATAATATAATATGATATAATTCCCGCAGCACTATACGTCAACGTCTGTTTCCGGCAAAGTTCTTTAAAACTTTGAATTCATGCTTACACTTGAATCACCATATCTCCTATGTGTCTATGGTAAGAGTGCAACCCACAAACATTTAATTCTGCATTGCAAGCGCCATTCTACTCAAAGAACACAACTTGAAGAATCCCAAGCTTCACAAGCTTCATATCCTCGAAACGAAAATTACCGTGATCTTTCTTTGATAATACAATACCATAGTCAAAAACATTGTAAATCCATTTTTGCCATTTAACTCAGGCACATTCACTTTAATACTAAGTAATGGATGGTGCTGACTGAAGTGGACCACAAAGTCATCCATCTCGTGTGATTTATAACTACAGTGGAAGCATTTGTACCGAGGACCTGAAATACAATGTTTCGATGTGCAGTGGTAACTGGTGATAGCCATATTTTTTCAGTTTCATTTATTGTTCACAACAAAATGATTCACATGGAATGATGCAGATTGTATGTTTATTATTTTTTCATCAGCACGTCATAAACTCGACGATATAATCGGATCTCAACATTTTACTCAAGTAATGTTCGGATTCTGAGATCCTTTACTCAAGATGTTTTCGGATCTTTATAATATTACTCGTCGATCACATCGTGTCCGATGTCCGATAACCTCGGATCTTTTAGGACAACGTTTAAGTGAAGATTTTGCTGTTCAAAAGTGCTATTTTGACC